AAGCCTTAATCAAACTTTTATTAACCTCGAAAAATTGCATTTTGGTAGCTATATTGGAAAGATTTTTTACAGAATTTCCACTGTTTAGCTTCAACAAAGTGTTTGGCTCTTCGGCTGGGAGCTCACCTGCGATTTCTCACAGGACGAATCTTCATATCGTTGGTTTGTTTTGTGAATATGCCTATCGGTCACCTGTCCAAAGGTCAGGTCAGCGCACAACTACAGCTTTTAAACGGACGCGTTGAGCGTATCTTCATCCGATCAAAATAATGATTTGACAGTTATTCGACTCCAAATCACGTATTTACCGTCCCTCTCTAAGGCGTCACGAAGGCAAGTGACGATTTGCTGATACAAAGAGTGCGAGAGCGGAGTGTTTGAAGCAAATGATGAGAAAGAGGTGTTTGATGGGACGTCAAGCATTACTCCGCTCAGTTCTACTTTGCATTCCTGTACCCGACATTCCCCCACCTGTCACTTAGCACAGTCGTGACTGCTGTCGACACCGATACCCTCACCGTCGTTTCAGCATCCGTGCACACGCGCGTTAGTAGCACACCTCTCTCTCTCTCTCTCTCGCCTCACCTAGGCACTGTTGCTGTTGTTGTTGCTGCTGCTTCTCCTGTTGGCGTTGTAGTAGTAGTGCTTAGTGGGTGTACAGTCAATCCCTTTAATCAACTTGCTAGGCATTAATTTTTATCGTGATCTACATGAACTTAGCCGTATGTCTTGGCCAAATGCCTACTCCGCTACCGTCCATCAACAGCGGCTCTCATCATCAGCCTTATGACAAAGGCTGAGGGGTAGATTGGATACAATTCTGCTTTCTTTCTGCCTCCTTATATGGCAGTTATTGTAGCTAAAGGACGGTATTTTCACGAACACTTAACTGAACTGCAGAGAATGATAGTAAGGAGGCAAGAGAGAAGTGAGTGAAGTTTTCGGGCCTCCATCCTCTGTCACCGTGGCTGGCTATGAGCGGAGATTGACGCTGGGAAAGGGAGTGTGGGTTCCGACTAACTGGTGGTTTGAGGGCCCATAATAATCTCTCAAATTTAACTAAACAGCCTCTAGTGTTTTCAACATTAAAATGTCAATCGTGATGTGCCGGCAATAAAGGCCTCATAGGCATTGCAAGCCGTTTAAGCCCTCAATTTGGGGAGGAGGCGTCAACAACAATGAGGGGCAACTAGAAAAAGGAAGAATGAGGTGATTTTCATTCTTAAATCTGGCTATCAGGACTCTAAATAGAGCCGTTTGTGAAATTCTCCTTGCCGGCTCTCTAGGGACTTTTTGCGGCACTCGACGCGTCTTCGTGCTTCAAGTCTGATCCATAGTCCGGAGTGGCCTCATTGGAAGCACTACAGCCGTTAAAAGGAGAGGCTGCATGGTAGCGAGCATCGAATTTATTCAAAGCTTAATTATGAACTATCAATATTTTTAAACCTAAGTAAAGTCCTCTGTGAGCAGACTAAGGTCACATTCACTCGAATTGCAGTCGGACCATCTCAGTGGACCTCAAAAAGTGCTTTTAATAAAAGCCCCTTTCAAGAATGCTGCTAGTACTCTATGTTCAACTGGAACAGATTGTGAAAACAAGGCGCATATGAATGGTGTACAATATGATTTATCGTTGTTGAGAGTTGCGTCTTGCACTACTGCATAGTTCTGTGGTTATAAATGTCCGTTGGAATGAAGAGGCAATTGAAATTGTCAAAGTGTGAAGCCGGCAATAGTGGTGTTGGGGCACAGCACATGATACTCACGTGAAGAGGTGGAGAGAGCGCCACGCCGCCATCTCATCATCATCAAACGCTGTCGAGACGTGCGTGGGTGCGTGCATGTAAGCTTGTAGTACAGCCACCGCCTTGCCAATGTTTGTGTTGTTGTTACTACTACTGTTGTTGTTGTTGTTGTTATTATTGACACTGTTTTATTGCTCTCCTACAATCGTCACTGCTGCTGCTGCTTCTGCTCTGTCACTGCTGCGCTGTAGTTACGCATCGCTTTCAAAAGCGGCAACAAGAGAAGCAGAGGCACTGGCACCGACAGCAACAATGGCAGTGACGATGAATTCTGCCTGAATTTCTGGACTCTTCTGTGATGTGATGCACTGTCAGATGCGTGCACCCGGAGAAGGTGGATTTGTGTCCTTTTGCTGCTTTCTCAATGCTTATACACACACAGTCACACAAATTGATCTCGGCAAATACTGAATAATTACCGTAACAGCACCTATATCCAATGATCGGCAGGAGTGAAGTGAAGAAATGGAAGTGTTTTTCCTCGAATAAATGATGTCACGCATAACCAAGTTAGTTAATGGGATTCATTTCTCTGCTGCAATAGTGCGACAGCATTCGATTTACACAAATCCCACTTAAATCTTCGTGCAACACCTTATATGTTAGTGCTTATGAATTGATTCAGTCAGGGCTGAGGGAGAGGGAAATGGAAGTCACATCTCACAGCTGGACTAGAGCTTCTAACCGCCAGCGCTGTGTGGACTGAGATCATCGACAGGCTAGAAGGCGATCGCTTCATGCATTGGAGAACTTACTTAACTTACTATCTTATCTGTTAGTGCCTCGAGATGTTTGTGTTATTGCACCAAATCGATTCCGACTCACGACACTACTTATTTCCTGATGCATAAATATTTGAACTCTTACAAATGCTGTCTCTCAAATTTACCACTTAACACTCAGTTTTTATCATGCTACCTCAAGGATCATCTTCAGGATAAGAAAAGGAAATGCTGGGAGTCACGTAACTTTTAAGGCATCCGAAATCAGTTTCCTCTCAGGGCTATCACACTCATTTTGAAATACACTAAACTGACAGTGGGGTTCGAGGATTCGGCAGCCTAAACACACTTTTCGTGTGAGACATGAGTAAGGCACATATCCTATCAGCCAACTGTAATCTCATTCTCCACTCGTAGTCAATTTGGGGTGGAGGTTTTGCTTTCTTGCAATGGGCTTATCACCTCTTTGATCCCTGAGGCCTGCTTAAACCGCACCCAGGTCATGCACTCTGCACAACAGGCTCCGAAGGTGCCAGCAAAATACCGCCACCACTAGGCAATAAGTGATCCAGTAGCGTAAAAAGGGCTTTGTTGTGTGTTGTCTCTAATTAAGCCAATGCCTCCACCCTGTCATTTAAAAATCAAGCTTTTGGTTAATAGCTCATTTCTTGAGTAAGTGTTAGACTCAACTTCGCACTCATCTCCTCTTTCTTAGTATTTTCCTTAGACACTTATTTTCTTGTGACGAAAAACTTCACTGCTCTTCGAATTGTGCGGGTACTTCATTCGCAAGTGAGGTGTGACTTATTGCGGGCCTCGACTCATCCTTTGGTGGCCCCCCCCCCACTTGTTGCTCGTTCACATATTGGCGACTTTTCAATGATTGTAATTAACTACTGAAATTAAACAAGTAGAACCATTTTGGGTGTATTTTAGCTGGGAAATCCTACCACTGCGAGCTCTGCAACAAGTACTTCACGAAGAGCTGCAACCTCAACTCTCACGTGAAGGCTGTTCACAAAGGTATGTTGTTTGTACCTATTGTGCATGGAATTTCAATTTATTCGAAAGAGGAAGTGGTCAAAGAATACTTTGTCTAGCTAACCGATTTAGCCTTTATGAAAGTCGTGAAAACTTGCTGTTACTTCACCCTACCGACAATTCATATATTGCCGCTTTTATTTGGCCAAATTAATTTGGTCAAGTTCCGACCGCTATTTTTGTTAGCACAAGCCAAACCCGGTTGTTTTTTTACATCAAAGGGAATGTTTTCATATCTGGTGTCCGCTAGAGGTCCTTCAGTGATGCTATCTCTGTCTGGTTTTTCCATACTGATGCATGTTTCCGTATTGCCCCAAAGAAAATGTGCTATATTTTATACTTTGCACTAATTAGTCAAGGTTTTCCTGCACAAATCAGGCAATGTGCATACTCACGATGCTCGGCAAATCAGTAAGTTACCTAAGGCACCTGAAATTTGCATTAAAAAGGGCATCAAACACTGGCCATTTATCTGAGGAAGTAGGAGCACTTTAGGTTTAGCAGTAAGGTCATTGGGGAGGCTTTCATTTCGACTTTCAATGCAGCCAATCTCACGACTATAAGATGCGCTGCAGTTGTATCGTTGATGGTGAAAAAAGCGAAACATGCGCTTTCAGCCAACTAGAAGAACCCATACTTTATCTAGCACCTTTGACCTCTCTATCGTTAGTTGCTAGAAACTAGAGTATAACCCCAAATGGATGGGGTGTAAGCTGGTTTTGCAATGGATTTACCATCCATTACCGCTAGGAACATCAAAGCAAACTCTACATACCGGTTACTCAGTCATGTCGATAACATATGTTTGGACGGCGGATCAAGCGTCCGCAGTCAGTGAGCGAGGAGTTTTAAATTACCCATTTGCTTCAATTAGGCAAATTTTGTTCTCACCTCTTATCAAGAGGCACTGGAAACACCCAAAACACCCGCCGAGTCGTCTGAAGTGATGTTTACGGATAGTTGTGTATCTCCTTTAGTGTTCTTTGAACTGCATTCAGGCATTAAAGTGGCAGAGGGTCTCCAATTTTCATCATTATTATGAATTTCCCCCCAATTTTAATCTCTAAAGGAGCCATTTACTCTCTTGACAACGTTTGAATAGATGACGATGAGAAGGAAGGGCGCGACGAAGGAGACATATGAGTTTCCATTACCGTTGACACCCTGCTTAATTCATTGCCTTTTTTTGCGCCCCTCAAGCTGTTATTGTGACGACCCGTGAATAGGTTCCAGTTCTACACCGCGGCGTAGTTGCTAACGCTCGCCTTTGTATTCGTCAAGGTTCAGCGACCTGAAGTGATCCGTAGTGATTGATGGATTATTTTCGTTCACTCATGCACGAGTTAGTCAATTCCTAGGCGCTCTCTGTTGGCATTTTTAACGTTTGTATATTTAACCTTGCCTTATACACTACCGGTTAAATTTGGTGAGCATGATTGGCGTTTGTCTCCTTTACGAGGCCGTAGGAGTTGGAATCCAACTCAATTTGATGGACGGTTTCTGGGGAGGGCATGGTATGGTGTAGCAGAGCGCACTTCTCGCAGTCAAAAGGTCTGAATGAACCACTTACTTTTGCTGCTTAACCAATCAAGAGGGATTGTTTTCAACTTGGAGTGGAGTGGAGGAGTGTGCATTGTTGTTGGTCTGCCAAACCTGAAGTGAGGTGGTATGAACAACTCTTGAGACTGCCGAAGACGCATACTGAAGAAGTACATTTCCGCTAATGCAAACTTGAAGAATAGAGTTGTAGCGGTAGCCAAACAAATTAGTCCCCAAAGGTGGGTGACTACCGGATAGCAATGACTCCTTCTCTCTCCCTCCTTCTGTATGCATTGTGAAAGCGGTCTGCAATGAGACTAGTGAGTCAACAAGAAGAGCTTTATCAATGGGATAGGGTAAGGGCTTGTAGGAGGATAGCTATGACCCTCATCCTCTCCCTTTGCCTTGGCATCCTTCAAAATAACTGTTATGCCTCATGACACTGTAATATCACTTGATGAACGGGATGGATGATGTGTGGATATGGAAGAGGAATCAATGCGATTCAGTATCTCATGCGGAACAGTTCCCAACGTCCGTTGAAGCTTATTGGCCTCTTTTTGCTCGGTACTCTCAGAATCCTGCCATCACGAGACACTGCATGTAAAGGTGGTGTCGGCAAGATGGATACTGAAAAGTGGTGGGCGTAAGGAGTTGTCGAGGAATTCATTTTTGCCTATGATTTAACCGGCACAATTGGGCGAGACACGAAATTGGGTGAATGAAACTGCTACATGAGTAGGAAAGGTTTGACTGACCATGGTCTGCTTCTCCATGCCTGTTTAGGTGTTCGAGCTTTTCAGTGCAGCGAGTGCCAGAAGAGCTTTTCACGCAACTCCGATCTGCAGAAACACATCGACGCGGTACATAAGGGGCTGCGGCCCTACGAGTGCGCCACCTGTCAGAAGCGCTTCTCACAGAAATCCAGTCTCAAGCGCCATCGCGAGGCTGTCCACGAAGGTGAGGTTCTCATGTAGGTCTCTGGCCTCCCTCATTCTCTTCATTTGTGTGTCCACTTGTGTACGTATTTTTTTTTTGTCCGCATCTTATACAAAATGTTAGCTAATGTGTAAAGTTTCAAATTTCGCCGCTAACCAGCGTCGCAAAACTTCTGTCTGTCTGCCTAGCCGCCTTGACATAGTCAGCTTTATCTTGGGGTTACTAAGTAGACCGTCAGCTCTCTTATCGTTGCAACTCCATCTTTCTCAAGTCTTTTGCGCATGTTCTCCTCTGAAGGTGTTGCATTACCTGCAGGTCGGAAGACAATTTCTTTATAAGTGCGTATTGGGGGTGGAAATTATTATTTTTGCAGCACCTTGCTTTCGAGGATTCCGTAAAGTTATTTAATCCTCAAGCTCAGTCAGACGAGCAGCATCACCGATTCTAAGTACTGACTACTACGACAGTTTTAACAGAACATTTAAGTGCCCTGCGAGTGAACAACGTGGTGGTGTAACACATTACCACAAGCCTGCTAATATATGCCTTGTTGGTCCGAGTCTGTGGGATTGGTTTAATACTTTCTGATTCTGGCATTCCTGCCGTCTCAGTATTCTGGAACGCTGATTTCAATGCCCGCTGTAGAAAGTGTCCTCTTTCGAAAGGCGACCTTCTCACGGCACTGTCTACGTGGTCTGTTAAGGTAGAGAATATGCAGCTACTGGTGCGTCACTGCTCCGTATGCGGTGGGAAGAGGCGATGGGGAAGTGTCCGTCAAGTCTTTAACCAACTTGCCGTCCAGCAAAATATAAGTTAAATAACTCATGGGGAGTTACACCATGCTTCAATGACATCTCGTAGAAAGTTGCTGTTTAAATGCAATCATATGGGAAGTCGTATGCTTTCAGGCGTTACTTTCTTCTTGATAAGCTTGTTTACTTGCCGTGGAGATTCTAGTCAAATTCACTGAAGTCGTAGATTAGATTTTTCACTATGGATTAGGGGTAGTGATAAATTACAGGATAAGGTCAGATGTTGCTGGAAGCTTGCTTAAAATCATCTCAAACACATGCTTGTTTTGAGTGGTGTAAGTGTGAAAGTCCACATTTCCTACTCAGCACAAAGATCGTCACTTCGGCCTCTGCCATAAACGGCTCGTCTTTACATCCATATTAAGTACTACGTGTCGGTCCTTTATGGAAAATTTCATCGCTGTCTGTCTGCCGCTCCTCATCATATCAGTTGCTTTGAAATGCTCCACCCGGATGACATTCATGATTTTTGCTAGAAAATCTTCAAAACATAAAAGGCGTTTATTTATGGAGCTGACTCCTCCCACTTTTGGCTCAGTTGAGCATGTTTTTTATATTTACTATGACAGGAATTAAGGCCTTTCAATGCAGCCATTGTTCGGCGAGATTCTCCTACGACGTCCATTTGAAGCGCCACATTAGAGCCAAGCACAAAGCGGTGTCGAGCACCGCCACCTCTGCCGCTGCACCCTCGGAGGGAGTCTCCTCCAGCAGTCTACCCTCCAGTCCCGTCTTCCAGCCCACCTCTCTGCGTCAGGCCTCCATTTGAGCCCTCTCCTTCCACTTTGCTCAGGGATGGTGCCTTTTAGCTGCACCCCTCGCCTTAGCATCTCAGGACATCATCCATCCATTCACTCCACAACCCTCAGGGGTTTTTGCTTCTCGTTTTACTCAGTTTTTAGTGTGGATGTATCAATACATTGCTACGCCTCTCTTCTTTCGCTAGCACCCCCTCTTTCCTCCATCTCTTCAAACTCAGGGGCACATATTTTTGCGTTTTATTTTGTGCTAGTGACAACGAAGACCACACACGTGTACGAGCACAGTTAAAACAGAGTTTGCTATGTCACAACACCCACTATATCCTTTATATGTACAAACAACTGAAGTTTGTCTCCTCCTCCTCCCTTTTCCCTTTTTCTATCTCTTTCTCAACTCCCACTTTGCAACGGCAGTAATAATTAGTGATGACGTGTGGGTCTGTGTGAAACCTTGTGCGGTTTTTGCCTTTTTTGTCTATTTGACGATCTGGGCACACACTATTTTGGTTTTTCCTTTCACTCGAATTTATGCAAATTGTATTATAAGGTATTATAAAGAGCGAATAAAATTGTAGAGTCTAAATTCCTTCTTCATGCCTCTAGTGCTGATGTTTCGCGAATACGTTGGAGTGAGTGCATTTGGCAAGGTTGTGTAAAAATTTACCATCGTTCAAAATGTCTTCGAAATAGCCTTAGTAGTTGAGGAAGTCTATGCAAACGTCAAGGATACAGTTAATGCACTTGAAAGTCAACTGCATCGTTCCTGGTTTTTGTTTACCCTTAAAAAGCGGTAGGAATGCCCATCCCTAGGGGGTAAGATATCGTATCTACTCAAACAGGAGATAAATTCACACATCACTGAGCAAGCGGAATGTCGCTTCATTCAGCGAGTCCTATAAGGTGTAAATGCCAGGAGAACCACGTCTGCATGAATATTTAACGTGATGTACCGCACCCAGTTAGTTAGAAATGCTGAGAACGAGTTAGTATTCATTTCCTGCTAAAGTCAGCTAACATTTGCTGATCCGCTTAAGACGATGCTCGTTTGCTGGTGTATAGCCAGATAATTTTGTGATTACACAAAAGTCATCACTATTGTACCTCAACAACTAGTTCGATAGTTAGCCAAGATTGCAAAATTAGTCTGCCAATACAGTTAGACAAAAATAATCCGCCTTCAAAAATGCCATTCTCTGGTGCATTTACCACAATATAGGTTCTAGAGCATAAATGTTGAGAGTATTGTGCCAAAAGATTCACTATTCAGCAAGTTTACAAAAACATTGCAGAGCAGCCGTAAACCGATCATTTTATGCAACCTTTCGCTGAGACCAACAACCGCCGAGGACCGGGATTTTCTTTAATGTTCACGGGGCGTAAAACTTTGAATCAATTTTGCTGCATCGCCGCGCTGCTAAATTATTCTTTAGTAAGATGCTTCTCAACAAGTGAGCCCTTCCGCATAATCTCGCAACCATGGTGAGCCTACATCAACGCCTTGTCAAAAATGAGTTCAATTTTCAAGGTCACCCAGGCGCTCGCGTTATGGTCGGTGTGCTTGAAGGTTACCGACTTACATGCCACGAGATTGAAATGGATTTACTGAGTGCACACATTCTTAAGAATTTTTTGTATGCAAGAGTAGAAAATGCAAATTAGTGGTTGAAGGATCAATGGCTTTTCTGGCTGAACGCAAAAATGGGTTAGGTTATTGACATTAGGAGTTTGGTTTACTCATCGTATCTTTGCAAATTACACCCTTGGCACAAATATTGCCTGTCAATTAGTTTAAAAAATTTTGGTTTCTCCAAAATAAACACACTGTTTGGAAACGGCTCTCATAAACCATTAACTTTTGAGTGAAACGATGGCTTGAGTTTTGGTGTGAGGCACTGTACGAACAGTAATGTTTCAAAAGTGCGGCGAGCAAAGCTTTCTTAGTGTGAACGCTAGCAAACTCTCATGCACAGTGCCTTGCCGTGGAGCAGCCGCACATTTTACGGCGTTGATTGCATTGTGGCAAAGACTGAAAAGCTCTCATTATTGAAGTGAAGCACTCTTGCGATTAGGTCAACATTTTGTTTATTTGAATTTTGGAAGCTTTTACAATAAAATTGAAGCCAATGCTTAAAAATTAACTCAGCATCTGCACTACACTTTAGTCTCGTCCACTGCTGGTGAAGGGTAGCAAATGCAGCTCTATTTGTCTATACAAAATCTTACTTAAATAATTTCAATACAAAATACATATTGTGACGGTTCCTAAGTTAAGTTATATTGGATGTTGTTTTTTTACCCCTGCATGTTGTGCCTCTAGACTGCCCTGAAGGCAAAACCAACCTCACTCATTGGGAAACTTTGTGCTATGGCAAACACAAGGAATTGAGCCTACAGCCAGCCAGAGCGTTGCTACCACCTGTTACCAAAGGGGAGAATCGGATTAGCAACAAGCATGCTTTGATGTGCCTGGTATGATCACAATCTTAAAAAGGGGAATAGGACTGTAATACTTTGTTTGTGCGACCGCATGACGGTTGGCGGTCACTTTAGGATTTGTCTGGCCCTCGTTACACGTGGACTGGCCTTCGGGCCATGCCCAGGCCCATTTGTCCTGACGTCTTCAGAATACATGTATCCAACTGCACTTACTGACTTCTTGTACCGGCCAGGAGGTGGCAGCGGAAAGAGAACGCGAAATTTTTTAAACGACTTTTAGGCTTAAAGTGCTTTTGAAGACCTTCTGCTTCAGTCGAGTTGGGATCTCTCTCCGCGTCTTATTCTTCGTTGGTCGTTTGTTAAAAGCGACATGGTGTCCGAGAAAATCTATTGCTCAACAGACACCACTGTCTTACTGGCAGCCTACGTTTATGTTGCTAAACTTTGCTAATTAATCGACTGATTCCCGTAAAAGAACAGTACGAACAAGCCGACGAGCAAGTTTTCGACCGGATTATGATGATCTGGAGATGTGTGTCGCTTGTTCTTGGTGTTTACGCCCTGGGTTTGAGTGTCTATGGGCCTGATAATCTGTTGGAGCACAACATCAGTTTCACTTGATCGGAAATTCGAAACCTCTCTTTGCACGACAAGAAGTTTATAATCCAACTAGCAGACAAGACTTCAAAGGGATTCCACTTTTTAGTGGAGGAATTCAGGCCTAATAAGCGCATTCTGGCAATCGTGAGCCATACCTGCGTAGAAGGAAGTCTGACTTCATCGAAGTGCAATGTATAGAGATACAGGAGAAAAGGAGACGTGAATTGCAGGAGGCGTATTTACGTTGGCGACGGAGAACCTCAGAATTCCTCACAACGAAAGAGTTGAAAATAACGTCTGCATTTGGTTTCACCTTATTCCCGTGTTCCACAGGCAAGCTATTAACAACTGAAGCG